TGTTGATCGCCATGAGTTTGCTAATCAGGGACGGAAGGTGGCAAGATACTTTCTAACACAGCTGACAAAATGCCTGACAAAGCTTACTTAGAAACCAAGCCAGCATACAGCCCATATTCTTACCCTCAAGTAGAAAATGATACATGTGTACAAAGAGGATGAATAGATATAGTAGACCATAACCTTTACGGAGATATATTACATGGCACAGGCAGCACAAAACATATTCCAGTTATGCCATACATACATTTATAAGCACCCCCCCCCATAAAGCCTTATGGGGTACACTGTCACAGCAGGTCCAACACAGGCGGGTCTGGCCCCTCTCCTCAACAAGGGCTCAGCTGCTGCTCTGGAGGTGAAAGGCTCTTGGTATCTCCTCAACCACCAGGCCTTGTAATGTCCTAGGGATGATGCCCCTCTGGGTTCCTGACCAGGACGTCGGTTATTCCTTCCCCTGAGACTCCACCCTTAAGATTGGAGACTGGCCACTTCCCAGGGCTTTGGGAGATGAGTCAGAGCTGCGGGACACCAGTGTGGTGCTGAAGTGGGCCAGCTACTGCTCTCATTTACCCGGGTGCAGGGCAGGAGTAACTCTACTGAATTCAATGGGGTTACGCCTGATTTTTCTGTGGAATATTCCAGTTGCTGGTGGTGGTTCTAACAGGGTTCCCACACCCAGGAAAGACAGAGCCTGCTCCCTTCCCCCACCTCGAGGAGCTGCAATCAGCTGTTTGTAATGTACCAGCAGCTTCCTCCCCCATGCGAAGGCTGCAGTGTCTGGAGCTGGGCGGGAGCAGGGAGGTGTTTGTGACATACAAGGCTCCACTTTCCCTCCACGTTCTTCATTGCTGTGTAGGTGGAATTGGACTGAGCTCCCCTCTGATGTGGAGAGATGAGCTGGGGGAACAGACTCCAGGAACAGACTGTGTTTCCGGAAGCACCTACTGTACCTAGGAACTCAGCGGAGGGAACTGCTTTGACAAAGTGACCCCTTTTGGTGAGTGTTGGGTTACAAATCACTTTAGTGGGGAGTGCAGGGGAATGGCATGTTGTCACCCTGGTTGTGTGAGGACAGGGCAGCAGAACTGTGCTTAGCCTGCCCTGATTGACGCTCACTCGCTAAGCAGGGGGGTGGGGATGACAAATCCCCGTGAGAGTGAGAGAAAAAGAGGGTGGGGGCAGATGTCTGTACTGGGGGTGTGGGCTCTGCCTAAAGACTCCCAGATGCCATTTGACCCTCTCCCTCGCCAGTGTGTAAAGGCAGAGCTGATCAGACACACTGGAGAGTCCTTGTTTTGTTGAGCTGGAGCTGAAATCACTGAGAACCAGGTCTAGCCACTGAGCCTTAGGGCATCTACACTTAACATGCTGCATCGGCACAACTGCACTGAGGCAACTGTGCCGCTGTGGCGCTTTAATGGAGACGCTCTAAGCTGACGGGAGAGAGCTTCTCCCATCGGTGTAGTTAATCCACCTCTCTGAGGGGCGGCAGCGGTGTCAATGGTAGAGTCTCTCCTGACAACACAGCAGTGTCTACACAGGGGTTCAGGTTGGTATAACTACGTCACACAGGAGGCGGGTGTGTGTGGATTTTTCACCCTTCTAAGTAACATAGTTATACCGATAGAGGTCTGTAGGTCAGACCAGACCTCGGTTGTATACGTGGTGGTGGCAAAAGCAGCCAAGGCATTTCTTGACGCCATCTCCCCACCTCTCACCCCATCCAGGAGGAGTTGAACTCACATGAACGCTCTGAACTCTGGGCCTTCGCCAACCAAAGACAGCAACTGTGAGTGGGGGGCTTTAAAAGGTGGAAGGTTTGGTGAGTGGGGTGCAGGGGAGGCAAAGGCAGGTTCAAGGAGAATTTGTTGGACTTTCACACCACAAGGGGAGAAACTGAGGCAAAGGACACTGCCCAATATATTCTGGGGTAGGAGTTTGCTCGTGGCTAAGGCTACGATTATATCATGGAGGTCACGGACATGAGGCGTTTCCCCTCCAATTAGCTCTGCCCCCCAATAATCCCCACCCAGAACTGACCAGGGGGCAGGTAGCTCCCTAGCCTGATGGGGGAGTAAGGCCATGGGGCACCTGCCCCCCGGATGCATATGCTGGACCCTACCTGGTGAGGCCCCGCTGCCCGGGCCCGTCTCCTCCCTGAGGGGCTCGGCCGCGATGCTTATCTTCTTGATGCTGTGGAAGGGGATGGTGTGGGGGGTGGCGGCATGTATGGGAAGGCCGTCTCCACCACCAAGCGTCCCCGGCTCTCCTGCGGCTGGTGGCAGGGGACCTCTGCAGTTGCCCAGCCATGGCAGGAAGAGTGGGGCAGTGGGGGACCCTAGACGTCCCACTTGCCACAGGTGGCAGGGAACCGGAGCTCCCTGCTGCCGTAGGTGGTGGGACCCCCCCACAACTACTTAGGTGCCGTGGGGAGCGGGGGACTTCAAAGTGGGAGAGTGGGGGTGGGGGACCCG